TGGAAGAAAAAGATTAGGTACCTGTAATATTGAAGATGTAACCGTGGTTTAAAATTATATGTTGGGCACAGTACTTAGTGTTCATGTCGATTAGGGATCTTGGTTGCTTGCAATGCAGGAACGATGTAGAGACTCACAGAATTGCAGAGAGGTTGGAGGACCAGGAAGGATACGGGCTTAGAAGCTAGGCAGGAACTTAAGAGAGACTGGAGGGCTGGGCAGCAGGATCCATAGCAGAAACCGTGGCACAGGAACCACCTGGTCTTCATGATGCTGCTGTTGCTGCAGTGAATAATGAGTGTAACCACCAGCTGTCATCATGACCTGGGACTCCAAGTTACAGGAGGATGTCATTGGCTGTGTATAAGCCATGTTCCTTGGGGTAGATCTGTCTCCTTTGAATTCTGTAATGGGAACTGGGTATTGCTTCTCACTAGATGACTTGTCGCAAGGTAACTGGGCCCCCTGAAAGGGAGATTAGGTGCAAATAGGGATAGGATTGTATACTGGATGGTGTCCCGTTTACAATAAAAGACAAATGTTTACTATGCTCCCCCTTTGGCTGCCCAACATTCACATAAGCCTTTCTTTCCATACTTAGGCTTACGAAAATAAAATGCCCCAGCCAACATAATGCACCTCTTCCCTGTATGGCTGAAAACAGAGCCACCCCCTCCCCAGAGGTTCTCAAGAAAACCTCCTCTGTCCGTTGTCTTCTGTGGCCCCATCTAAGTGGAGCATTGGGGATGATGGCTTTGTCATGCTTTAGCAGTTGTTTTTTGTTTTACGAGTTGGAGGTCTTGGGGTTGATTGTCTTAAGAGTCAAGCCACTTGTAAGTCACTGTCAGCCGTACTTCTTTGGCAGTGTAGATCCCTTATAAATGTTGTTGGCTTTCAAGGTTTATCTGCTTCCATGGACTAATAACTAAAACCAGATATACTACCAACCCCTCAGGTTTTGAACCTAGAACTTGGTCTGAGAACTTGTCTCTGGGCGATTGGACCTGGCCTTGTTGCTGTGCCCAGTGCCTTAGCTCTTGGTTAATGGAATCCACCTGGGAACAGTCGAGAAGCTGAAGAAGCAGTAGAGCAGGTGATACCTCCCCTGTGCTGCATCTTCATGGTGGGAGTGCTATCCCTTTTTCAGGCTGTAGAGATGAAACAGTTGGTGCTTGGGATAGAGGACTTCTCCTCTGTGTCCCCTGCCCCCAGGCAGAATGACTCAACTTAGTAGCGTCATATGTTCTCCTCTCTGGCTTTCAGACAGACCAGTTTCACAGCAAGCGTGTCTTTTTCTTGTAGGTCCTTAAGAAGTAGCCAACACATACTCTGGCATCTTTTTTTTTTCCCCTCGAATTCTTGAAAGTTGCAGGCACGGGTCCATGTCATAAGGCACAACAGGCCGTGTTTTAATCAGCTGTGTCTCTATTAAGTATCAAAGGTGATCTTGCCAGTCTAAGATAGTAAGTAGGTCCTCATGCCTCCACTCAGTGTCCTTGGCTCAGCCAGTCCACGCTCTTCAGTGTGTTACTGACGCACTCCATTTCCTCATGCCAGCTTCTTTTATTGGGTAAGATGCTTTCTGTGGCAAATAATAGAAAATCCAACTCAAACGGCTTAAATAATAAAGAGAATTAATTGGCTTCTGTGACGACAACTTGAGAGCTGTGGGATGGGCTTCAGGTGTAATTTGATCCAGAGGTTTGTGATGTTATCAGGTTATTTTCTTTCCCTGTCCTCCTCCTTGTATTGTTTTCCTCCTCAGACTAGGCCCCTCGTGAAAGCAGACATGGTCACAGAAGTTCCAAGTATCACATCTGTAAATCATGCCACCCAGAGGTAGATGGAACGAACCTTTGTCCTCATATTCCAAGCCAAAGCCTCAGGCTCAGTTATATGACCAGCCCTGAATCAATTACAGTGGCTGGGAGGTGGAAATGTGTTGATCGCCTTAGTGTAGATCGCACGCTACATTCCCGGAGCATGGGATAAAATTGGCTTGCCTGGAACAATGTGGTTTCCCCTGTGGGTCTTGGGAAGGGTGCAGGTGGACATCTATGTGTCAAACAAAAAGTATCCTTAGTGCTCTATGTACGTTCCCATATGAATTCTTCTGATAGTTTATGGAAACCTTGAGTTAGCAAGTGATTCTGAAATTTGTTCCTGTAGTCAGCATTGGTCTTTCAGAGAAAAAACAAATCAGTTTCTTTTGGCTGAACAAAATATTCCGACTAATTTCGTTGAGATGTCGAAGTGAACCAACCAGGCCTGGAGATGGTAGTCATGGTAAGGGAAATCAGTCCATTTGTGCGAAGATAGGAAGTATCTCTGTGTCATTTTTTCAGTGTCCCAGTTTCACCAGGAGAATGAAAATGAGGGGGAGGATGTCACTGTTTCCTCCCCCCTAAGTGCCTAGATGCTAAAAAAGTAAAATGATAGGAAACAAAACTGTGCTGGCATGACTAAGTGGACGTTGTTATCACCTTTTCAGTTGGTTTACTTTATTGCTGTATTTTGATTTTGCAAAAGTTGTATTTTCAGAGTTTTTCACTTTTACCCGCTGCCTGTAACTCAGCATTTGTTTTGCTCTCTTCTGCCCTTCAGATTATAAAGTTGGGATAGAAGTGTAAAAATTAGAACCCATACTCTTGCTTGAAACTTGTATTTGAAAAAATGGTGAAGCAGGTTTAATTACAGAGAAAGACTGGCTGCTTAATTACTGTTACCTGCAGTGAAGCTGCTGTCTTTCTGCAGCTGTTTCCATAAATAGACTTTATTATATACAGGAATCTACCCCAGGGCAAAGAGTTCCCATTCTGCCTCTTTGCTTAATTTAAATTGCTGGTTTGAGGTGGTTATTTTTGAAACTCTTCTCAGGTTGACTTCCCCCTTAATCCCTAAGCCTTCTTCCCTCATCTGCCAAATTATATGTAATGCATCGCAGCTAGAGTGCTTTTGGCATTTCTCGAGTCTGAGAACTTGAAATTTGATTTAAATGTTAATTTATTGTGACAAAGGTTGGGTACTCATGTTCCTATTCCTGTACAAGTCTTTCCACGGACTTGGCACGGGCCCAGCTGTCTCCCTGGCCTCTGCTGCATCTCTAGAGAGTGGCAAGTACCCCTACCTCCACCTCGTTTATTTTGAAAGATCTGGCCTAGTTCAAAGTGCGTGAAACCATTCTTGGTACGGCTATTGTTGGGTTTTAGCGATACCTGGGGCTATTTATTCCAGGTGTACTTGGTATGAAATTTAAAAAGACATTAACAAAAAGTTAACCCTGTTTTTCTTCTTTTGAATATTAAATACTTCTTTATTGGTTGCTTTCGTTTATGAGAGAATCTTGCTGCTTCTTGGTTTCATTTTTTTGGCTTTTCAGTGCACACTTAAAAAAAATTCTTTTTTTAATGGGTCAGAAATAAAGAATGTGTTTGGATTCATAGAAATCATTAATAATTAATAATAAAGAATTATGTAATTCCTGGTCTTTCCCAGTTCTCTTTTAAAATAGCCCAACTAAATGTAGTTTCTTTTGCCTCTAAGAGACCTACTAGATGTTCTAGACTAGAATAGAGTACATTTATTTAAATTGCTAAGCCTTAAGCAAGAAGACTGACCTTTATAAGATATAGGATGCTTGAGTGACTCCTTCATGGAAAGAATTAAATGTACTCCCCTCTCAGTATTAGGGGCATGAATATATGTGAGTATTTATTAGTATCCTGAAATATTATTTAGTATTAGTATCCTGAAGTTAAACAAAATTGACTTCTGCATTGGAAGTATTTAGAGGGAATGGCCCAGATGAATTTAGTTCTACATCCTGATGATATTAGAGAAAGCAACATAACACACACACACACACACACACACACACCTCGCCACACCACACCACACCACACACACTCTCCTAAATTCAGATAGTACTCTTGACAGTGATCAGATTTGAAGTCTTGGGCATTTAGCATTCTGCTCTTGGGTGGCACCACGCACTTTAGAGTGGGAGTCCAGTGCTGCCTTTGCAGTGTGCCTGTGTTTTCCACTTGATAGGCTTTCACATTGAGCTAAAAGGAAACTAGTATTTCTGGTCTATTCGTTGCATGTTAATTCGGTTTTGCTGTTGTAGCGGTGTGTCTGTTGGAATGAGCGTTGAGAATATTGAGGTCACTCTTGGCAGGTTATATCATATAGGCAACCTTTGATTTTCAAGTGGGGTGTATTATTTTCTTTATAAGTCAGCGTTGACTCCTGGAATGAAATTTCTCCCCATGGATATAGTGTTTTAAGTGGTGATTTAAGTTCTTTTAGCACAAAATGTAACACACTCCTAATTAACCATAAGCAGGATTTCTTAATCTCCCTGAGCTTCCTTATCTTAAAATGGGGATAATGATAACAACCTACCTCATAGAGTTGTGAGGATTATGCATGGAAAGTTCTTGATACAGCATCTGATATGTGACAAAAGTACTCGGTAAATGTTAGCATCATTTTTTAAACATTTCCTGGGAAGTGGCATTCTGCATTTCATCATGGAATCCTGGGGGATGCCGTCTTCGGGCAGCAGGTTCCTGTGGGTTCAAGTCTGACATTGGTAGGCAAGGGCTAGTGGAAAGGGGTGGGTTGGGTTCTCTTGCTAGAGCTTTGCAACTTCTGGTTGGGGAGAGGAGATGGTCTACAGAAGAAAACGGTGACCCTGGCTTCCTAGTGGTTCTTTCTGTAGATGGACTTTGCTTGGGTTGATGACTGGGAGGGAGGTTTGTTTGTGGCAGCAGGTTGGCAAGTGGGGCTTCTAGCAGCTTGGCAGTGACTGCAGCTCCTGCAGAGGCTTCTGACGTAGGTTTTAGGGGCAGGGGCAGGGGCGGGGGCGGGTTACGACATTGATGAGGCAGGTGAGGGCCATCTGGAACTAGCAGTGTTTCATTTCTCCACTGGTGCTAAGAACCCATCTGAAATTATCTTGCTCATTTATATTGTCCCCCTTTCCCTCTTTCTTACAGCAAGAGACTATGGCCAAAATGGAGGTGAAAACGTCACTTCTGGACAATATGATTGGAGTTGGAGATATGGTTCTTTTAGAACCTCTCAATGAGGAGACCGTCATCAACAACCTCAAGAAACGGTTTGACCACAATGAGATATATGTGAGTGTGCACTGGAGGTCATCTGGGGGGTTTTAGACTTTGCATTTTGTGGCACAGAGCTGGTTTTTCTTCCTTAGACTCTTCTCTCTTTTTTCTGTTTGTTTATTGGAGTCCAGAGGTATTTGTTTATACCCGCAGGAAGAGTTTTGGGTTTGCTCATTTGGCACGTGAGTAATATCGCATTAGAGTTGAGTGAGTGCTTTCCACACGGTGTTTGTAGAGGGCTGACTGTGCAGAGTGTTGCCCTGGATGTCGGGGGTGTTCTAAAACAAGTGGAAGACTTAGTTCTGCCCTCGGAGGAACATGTATTCAGGAGGAAGTTTGAAATCCACAGGTGTCTTCTTGGATACCTTCATAAGATTAGCAGCCTGACCTTTGAGAAGCTACTCATTAAGATGCAAGGCATTGAACCGTCAAAAAAGACATAAACCTTCTTAACATTTGTAGTTAGTAGAGACAGGAGCAAATTACCAGATACGAATATGTGTTTGGTCCCTGGAGATTTGGGAATAGTCGTGTCCTGCTATACAAAAGTATCATGTCAGACACAAAAATGAAAACATATCAATATATACAGTAATAGAAATTTTATGTTGTAAAAATTCTTTATAAAGGATTTCATAGTGTTACTCTATTAAGTTTGTTAAATATATTTAAAACATGAGTCAAAAATGCTTTTATATATAGCTTTTCAGGAATTTGCATAAAGCACAGAAATTTGCATCTGTTCAGGTAGAGACATGTTAACTAAACCAAGGAGATGAAGATTCCCTGCACCAGCAGCTGAGAAGGAAGTGGATGGATGGGGTGGAAGTAGTTTTAATAGCTTCTGACTCGCTTCTGAGTTCTTTTCCCCCCATGTTGTAGTCTATCTGTGTCTAGATATGAATTGGATTATTGGGACCATGCTTCATGTTTTTCTGTCTATCAGTGTGGGGACAGGAGGAGGAAATATAAGTAAATAAAACGAGAGAACGTAACTGATTATAACTTTGTAGAACTAACATGTTTTTAAAAATTATATGTGAAGCTATATTTTATGTTGCCTATAGCTTTCTTTTCCAGATAGGCGATCATGTTTCAAGGATAATTTTGGATAATTAATTCTTTTTTAAAAAATTTATTTTATTTTTGGCTGCACTGGGTCTTTGTTGCTGCGTGCGGGGCTTTTCTCTAGTTGAGGTGAGCGGGGCCTATTCTTCATTGCGGTGCATGGGTTTCTCATTGCGGTGCATGGGCTTCTCATTGCGGTGGCTTCTCTTGTTGCAGAGCACGGGCTCTAGATGCGCGGGCTCAGTAGTTGTGGCCCGTGGGCTCTAGAGCGCAGGCTCAGTAGCTGTGGCGCACGGGCTTAGTTGCTCCGTGGCATGTGGGATCTTCCCAGACCAGGGCTCGAACCCGTGTCCCCTGCATTGGCAGGCGGATTCTTAACCACTGCTCCACCAGGGAAGCCCGGATAATTAATTTCTTAATGAAATAGGAGTCACCATCTGGGAACTGAACTTTCGGTCTTTCTTGATTTGATTGTTGGAGGTAGGGGGAGGTTGACAGTAACCTGAGATATATGGATACTGCTTTGGAATATTAATTTGGTAACTGGCTACTAAACTAAGAGATGTAGTTATGTAAACTGCTGATTCAGATGGAAGAGGTATAAAACGCCATTGCTGTAGAGCAGGTGAGAGGTGTTGTTTGGTTTGGCAGTGAGGCCCCGTGTCACCTTTCCTCAAAGTGTAGCAGTTCAGTTTTCAGGTGGGAAAACATCATGGTTCTGCAGCTTTAATTGAAAATGTGGTCTGATAGCAAATAAAAGACAGACTTTAAACATTGGTCTTTGAGATGGAGATAGGAGGCATCAGATATATCCTAACCGACGTTGGCTGATCATTTTTCTTTCTGGCTCTAAGAGGCACAATTCACTTTCAGCTGAATTGAGAATAGGGTGGAGAGTAGAACATTACATGCATTCAAATACCTGATTTGTTGTGCCCACTAAAAATAAAAGAATCTCCTTTTTAACAAAATGTCAAGTGTTAACATTCATGAGTCTTTAGCAGACGAACTCTCTGGGTTTCAGCCTTACATGATTTTATTTTCTGACTATTTTAGGAATGTTCTTTCTGGTATGAGACAAAAGCAGAAAATTGCTTTTTGCTTCCAGATATTCATATAATTAATGTTTTCCATGATACTTTGGGACTATTATTTCCATGAGATGTGTGCCTTCATTTTGTAACTTTAAACACACGTCATATTGGGGGATTGGGCATTCTCTATTTTAAGCAAAAAAGAAAAAAAAAACAGCTTATAGGGTAATGTGTGTAGTATGATCTTATTTTTTTTAATGGGGGTTTATGGATGTGTACATATGTTTGTATATTTGTATGAACGTAGAGAAAGCCATGCTAACTTTAGTACCATGCTAACTTTAGCATGGGTGGATTTAGGCATGCTAACTTCAGTGGGGTGGGTTGGGATCTGGGGACGGGGAAGAGTTATTACTCTTTTAGACCTCAGTATTATAGGGCTTGTTAAGTCAAGTATGTATTGGTTTTGTAATTTTTTTTTTTTTTTTGCGGTACGCGGGCCTCTCACTCTTGTGGCCTCTCCCGTTGTGGAGCACAGGCTCTGGACGCGCAGGCTCAGCGACCATGGCTCACGGGCCCAGCCGCTCCGCGGCATGTGGGATCTTCCCGGACCGGGGCACAAACCTGTGTCCCCTGCATCGGCAGGCGGACTCTCAACCACTGCGCCACCAGGGAAGCCCTGGTTTTGTAATTTTTAAAAAACACTGTACGATAGATTTGATTACCCCACCTTACCCCGTGTAACCCCACATGATGTATATACTGCCCTTGGGAGATCTGTTTCTGGCCCTTATTCTGATAATCTTCCTGCTTTGCTTTTCTTCTTGGGTTGCTGAAAATTGTTCAGCTGATGCCAAAGGCCAAGTTAATGACATACAATATTTTACTATCTTGTATTTCACTTTGTTTTTTAATTCTTTCCCAGGAAGAGAAGGTACAGTTTTTAAAATTTTTTTATTATTTAGTCTCTGTTGTAGTCTCATAGCTTTACTTTATCCTATAAAATTGTGTGATGGTCTCGAGTGATCCATCATGCAAGCATACTGAACAGTCATTTGTATGTTCAGAAGCCATGGTTGATAAGGGGGCCTGTGAACAGAGGGACGCTTGGCTCAGACTTTCGAACTCTGGCTGTACCCAGAGCTTTTGCCGCCTCTTGTGTGAGCCAGCTGTAGGTCAGGGGACCCTGTTCTTCCAACCTGCCCCCCACACCCCCGCTTTCACCACCATACCTAGAGGTAAGAAATATTCCCTGCCTTCACAGAGTTCTCACCAGATAAGAGTTATCAACTCTCTAGAGTATTTATAACCCCTAGTGATCCTCTGGATCTCCAGCCAGCTGAATCTGGAAGTGGAATCCCTGGTGATCCTGTCATACTAAACCTGAAGCTCTGGGTAGGCCAATGAGTCACATGTACTCCTCAAACTACTGACTGTGGCCAGGTGACCAGAATGAGCTGAATGGCTTAAGAAAATGATGTCTGCTCCTAGGATTGGCGGAGGGTCAGTTTTTTCCAAAGTAGATGGGTTGTGTGTAAGTAGGTTGAATACTCTACTAAATCTCTCTGTCAGCGTGTTAGGAAGAGGGAAGGGCAGTGGATGCTGATGAGGCCCTCTGCTGTAACCCCGTCACAGGCTTGGTAGGGAATTCTCTAGTGAAGTGGTTTTATTGGTGTTGCTACCATGCTGAAGGATATGTTCCATGAGAAGCATTTATGATTGGAATTCTAAGCTTCAGGTGCACCCAAAGGCATGCCTCTCAAGACTTTTCTCCTGGAGAACTCCTTATGGTAGAGAAGAGTAGGGACTTCCCTGTTGGTCCAGTGGTTAAGACACTACGCTTCCATTGCAGGGGGCACAGGTTCAATCCTTGGTCAAGGAGCTAAGATCCCGTATGCCGCATGGTGTGGCCAAAAAAAAAAGAAGAGTAAAAAGGACCCTGGGGTGGGTAGTTGAAGTCTGTCCACTTTAGGGAAATACTGTTGAAATCTTTGCTTCCAAAGTCATTCAAAGTTTTATTCTATTCTGTAATGCATATCATATGGTTTTGTTTTAATCTACTCTACTCTTTGCAACCCTTATTTGAATAAGAAGTATTTTTGGTGCTGACAAGTAGTTGTAGTTTGTTTTCTATCTGAATTGTCAGGTTGGGGATCATCTAGATATAAGAGGTCTGAATTAGTCCAATTTTAGGATCTTACGTTAGACTACTTGTAGTTGTAAGAGGACTGCTTTGAAAGTCTAGTAAAAATTGTCTTGATTTTTAGGAGTTGGTACTAGAATTAGGATCCCCATAAAAATAGGATCCAGTACTTCTACGAAAGATAGTAAAGTGCATGCTTCAGGATTATGTCTTCTTTGCTTTGAGTTGGGTTCACACACTTTTTTAAAAAGCCCAGAGTTGGTTCAACACCCTGTCTGTAGCCGGGCAGAGTCTCTAAATCTGAGCCAGTTCCAGATGTTGACGTGGTCCTTGTGGGAAGGCTGTTCCATTGGAGATGGAGGTGGATCAGGTAAGAACAGATAGAGGGAATGTTGACCCAGTGGGGTAACATGCAGGGTCAGAGACTGTTTGCTTTGATTCCTCACTCTTGGTCGAGTGCAGTGCAGGCTGGGCCCAGCTGCAGGACGTGCTCCAGCAGTCTCCGTGGGGTCCGTGGTGGGAAATGCTGGTTGTGACATTCCTAAGCGCCGCTCTTCTGTATTCTTTCTGTCCTTTGTCAGAGCTTCTTCTGGCCTCCCCACCCCTGTCCACAGCCAGATGGGATGGTGGCAGGATTTCATGTGAACTTGGTATGCAGGAGACCCAGCCAGACGTGATTCTGTTTTTAGGGTGACTGGTCAGGATTGTGGTTCCGTTCAGGAACAGGAAAGCTGCAATTTAAGCAAGAACAAGGCCCAGGGCAAATTTGG